CCAAGTCATTCCCTTCTTTAGTTCCTAATTGAGAAAGGCAAGAATGGTGAAGAGATAATTCAAGCTATGCCATTCTCTGATGAGATCGCCATCGAACAGTTGACGCATCCACTGCGCAAATTCAATGTGCTGCTCAGTTTCTGTACTGCAATGGAAATAAACACCTGAACAATAGGTAAAAAACATGATTATATTGGAAGAAACCTATATGCTGTTATTAAATGTCTGCTATCACATTCTTTAGAGAGTAAAACCTTGGTTTGTTAATTGCTTCTTCATATTAAATCAAAGGACGGCTTACTTTGCTTGAAATTTGAAATCCGTGAACTATGGCACTCCAAGCAAAGGGAATACTGCAGTTAAAAGGCATATATGAAGGATAGAATTTGTGGACCTGTGATAAGCGAAACCAGAGAGGAATAACACCGATGATGAAAGACAGTGTTATAGACACCACGACTTTGACATTTTTCTTGCCTCCTTGAGTGTTCTCCCAGGCCATAATAGCACTTGTAAAGCTCAAAATTAAGACTTTGTACTAACCACTCGCACCTATCACCACTAAATCATATCAAGCGGCTTGTTGAGTTGTATTTAAAAGCAATAAATAAATTAGGGTATAGTCAGTTAGAATATTACTACAAGCAAGCTCAGAGTAACTATTTCTGCTGCCTTCCTATAGCTTTGAGTCTTCTGTTTCATCTCCAGCTGCAGATTTACCAACAATCCAAGTAACACAAGCACTGCAACACCGGTGCTTCCAGGCGTGAAGCCGAATATGAACGGATAATTCCGTGAATTTATGTGGCCATTTTACATATTTCAATTAATTTACAAATAATATAGCATTTTTTAATAATTTCTTCATTTCTTATATTTTACCTCTGGTTGATTCTTGTTGACATTTTTAAGTAAATAATGTTGAAAGCATTTTTTTTAATAAAAAATATAACTATATGATATTTCCGCTCTACTAAGAAAAATGGTTCCCTGGTTTAATATATCGAGAAAGAAAAGGTAGGCCCAATTCCCACTTGGGACCCATCCCTGTTTGGGCCTAATTAATCAGCCCACTGATTAAACAAAATACGTGATTTAAATTTATTTATTTAAACAACCACGTTCAAAACTAAACGAAGAAGCATTTACGTGTATCTTCCAATCAAAAATTGCCACGTAAAGAGTAATTTTTGACCTCCCAAACAAATACAGCTTCGCAGGTTGTGAGAAGAGAGAGAGAGAGAGAGAGAGAGAGGTGTCGTCATTGGAGACTTCTGCTTACCATCATCAATTCCCAACGTTCACAGCTGAAACTTTCTTCAATTCAATCGCCTGCCCTTGCTTCTTCTTCTTCTTCTTCTGCTGCTGCTGTAGAACACTGGAACCTTTTCAGCTGTCACACTGAATTTTTCCCCCCTTCTATTTTCCACAATGATTAGATCAAATCTACAAGCCTTTCTGCTCCTTCTTGTTCTGGGGTTGTTCTCGCCTGCAATTGAATCCCTACGATTCGAGCTTCAATCCGGTCACACCAAATGCATCTCCGAAGACATAAAGAGCAATTCCATGACCGTGGGCAAGTACAGCATCGTCAATCCGAACGATGGCTTCCCCATACCCGATTCCCACAAAGTCACCGTCAGGGTATCCGTTGAAAAATCCGCAATTATTGTAGCCATTTTTTCATAGGCCTTTCTTGCTGAATTTGATTTTTGTTTTTTTTTTTTGGGGTTTTAATATCTTAATATGTAGGTAACTTCGTCTTATGGGAATAATTATCACTATGCGGACCAAGTTACAACGGGGCAGTTCGCATTTGTGGCAGTGGAGGCTGGAGATTACATGGCATGTTTCTGGGCTCCTGATCACAATCCTCAGACAACAATGACAATCGATTTTGATTGGAGGACCGGTGTCGCTGCGAAGGATTGGTCAAACGTGGCTAAGAAAGGACATGTTGATGTGAGTCACCTCTTCACTTAACTACTCTGTTGCTCATTGAAGTCTGATATAAGAGCTTGAATTTAATAAGTTAAAAATTAACCTGGTATCAAGTGTTGTGTTGTTTGGTGCGGTTTTCTTTTATGAGTTGCTTGTAAAATGTTGATTTGCAGGATCATGTTTTGTGTGTTCAATGGTTATCACATATTATCTACTATATTGATGATCCTGGATTTAGTTTGCTATTGATGTATCTGAAATCCTGTCTTCCTTTCTGGAGAAATTTTGAAGTTACTCTTGATGAAATAGTTTCTTAGAACCAATGAAGTATAAATTTTTGGTGATTTGGCTGTCTCAAGATATTGCCTAGGGTATGGCATCCTAATTTCTGAAGTACAAGGAAGAGGATTCTAAGGGGTGATGTTTAAGGGCAGGAGAGAAATGGTCATGCTGGTCTTAATGGTTGAAGTTCAGTCTGATTAGCAAAGCAAGTGTTCGTTCTAGTAATCATTTTTGTCTATTGCTCAATAATTTGGTAGATAGGTTGGCCTATCTTTAATATGAGAAAATTTTGGACTTGCTGTGGATTTCTAATCATGACAACAAGATTTTGCTGAGGGGAATGTTATTTTCTGTTTAAATTAAAGCAGACATCTATCCTGTTTATATTTAGGATATAGGGATAACCTTAAATTTTCTAGGTGATATTATTTTTGCTGGTAATTGTGACTCATTTTCCTGGACCATGTATTGCCTGTGGCTATACTCTCTTGACTAAACAGTAGCATGAATTTAGAAGCACTAAATGGTAGCATACTTTTGAAAGATAAAGGAGGTCTGTATACCTTCTGAAAGAAAGTAGAACAAAGATCGTGTACTCAATCAAGAAATGATCGATATATGTATTTCTGCTGTAAGACCTGTGATTATATATTATAGTGAAAATGTTGGATATTGAAGGGATAACAAGAGCGAAAGTGGGACCCAGAGATGGAAATGTTGAGACAGATATCTAGTCATACAAGGGGAAAAAAAAGATATGAATTGGTTGTGTACAAGGAAAAATTGGCGTGGCATTTATTGAGGGAAAAATGGTTTTAAAAAAAAAAAAATCAATTAAGATAGCTTGAACATGAGGAAAGTAGGCTACTAAATGCGTCAATTATAAATTTGACTCTATGAAATTTAGCTCTATAAAATGATGAAGGAGATCAAGGAGGACATTTAAGGAAGTTATAGTGCATGCATGATTTTATGTTAGATAAACATGGTTTTGGTAAAAGCCAGTAGTTACTTACTTTAAACAAAATCATGATTTTCATTGTTTCTAATATGAAACCACCAAACATGCACAATCGACGTCATTTTGCAGGATGAGACCTTTTGTTGTCGTTAGTTTTTTATGCCCCCATGTATAGACGTAAAATCTCCCGCATTCCTTAGACACTTAAACCCTCTTTACTCAGCTCAATAGTACTTGAGCCAAGAGTTTTGCTTGTTCCATTAGTTCCTGTAGCAGTAATCATTTCAAACACTACGACCATTACCAGGAAAAGTCCTCACTGTTTTCACCTTTCAAACACGTGTTAGGTAATGGAGCTGGAGCTAAAGAAGTTGTATGAAACTGTTAATTCCATTCACGAGGAGATGTACTATCTTCGTGCAAGGTAAGTAAGCAGACATGCATGTCTATGTTCTTAATTTAACACATTCATATTAACATAAAGAGTCGCTGTTCTAATTCCTATCTGCTGTCTTTTTGTGCTTTTGATCTTCCTCCAGAGAAGAAGAAATGCAGGAATTGAACAGTGCAACCAACAACAAGATGTTCTGGTTGAGTTTACTTTCGCTTTTCATTTGCTTATCAGTAGCAGGGTTACATCTATGGCACTTGAAGACCTTTTTCGAGAAAAAGAAACTCATCTAAAATCGTGTACTACTATTCACATCTTTCATTTTTCTCATGTACTCTTGTCAAATATAGAGGGAGGTTAGTTGAGCTAGAGAATAACTGATGATACAGTTTGTTTTACGGGTTTCATTGTATTTCCAAATTAGAATTATGGCAAAACGAGTTTCAAAATATTTGGTCATTTTCTCTATTTTGTGTTTGAGCAAGTAACGTGATACATGATTCCCTTGTTATGCTGAACGCGAAATGAGGATTGAGCCATGATCAATGGTATGCAATTGATCTTGGGCTTCCACAAATTTCGGTTTGATTTGGAATTTCTGGTCGCAGGCATATCATAATCATATTCAATCATTCTGTCATGCTCTTTTTCCCCAACAAAAAAAAATCAAAAGGAAAGCTAAAAGTTTGATAGAATAAACCAAATCAGATCAGAAAAACTGGAAACGACAGTGAGGGTGAACAAAGTTTATCCACACATCTCTGACTAGTTCACAGTCAGTCATTGAGGAGATATGCATAACAGTTTCCTCTCTCTGACCCTGAAGTGGGCACTCTTCACTAGTAGCAGTAATCCCTCTTTTAGCTCTAAGCGACTTCATGGGTAATCTCTCATAGAAACTGAAAAAAAAAAATCTCTCATAGAAAACTGTGTCTTTTTTTTTGGTTACAAAAACTGTCATTTTATCATGCTTTGAAATAGCTTATTTCAGCACTTTAAAACCATGTTTTGTATCACGTTAGATGCATTTGACATTTACTTGTATAGATTAATTTTTCATATTATTTTAAAAAGATTGCCCCGCTTCAATCTGATTTTATGTTGAAAATAACCAAAATTATGGTTTTGAGAATAAGCATATAACTATTTGCTTTCAATTAAACTATTTTTTTTTTTTTGTTTTCCATATGAAATTAAACACGTACTTACAAATCATTTGTACGTTTCCTAGATTATACTAGGTTTTTCGCATTGTTATTGGGGTAGATGAAGATAAGAAAAGTTATTAAGCGGGGCCTTTTGATTTAAAATATATGCAAAAATTTGGTCATTGATAAAGGATAATAGTCTTTACAATTTATATAACCGATCTCATCTAATAAAATAAGGTTTATTGTTGTTGATATTGAAACTTGCTATTCGAAGTTTTAGAATAGGATCAATATGTGACTATATAGGATACTTCTAGATCCAAAGAGCTACAATCATCAAAAACACAGTTAGGTACAACCCAGTGAATACAGAAATCATTGCTGGGCCAGAGCTAATCCAAGTTGATGACAGCATCTATATTTGGCAAAACATAATACACTTAAACTACAACTGGAGGACACTCAGTTGAATAAATTGACTCCCCCGATAGCTTTGACGGGATCAAATAATTAAGGGAAGTGAGAAGCCTGAGAAAAGAAATCAACACCACCCGTTTATCTCATTAGAAATTTAACTGATGAAAACAAGCCTATTGCCTTCGCTGGGTTTGTTGACTGGCTCTATTCAGAAGCCTCAAATCACAGTAGGGGAGGCAAGCACCAGAGGAGCGGTGATGGCAAATAAATCATCCGAATTTGTGTCTCATTAAACTCGTTGACACGTATGAAGACACCAGGTACCAGTGATAATGTGTAGGTAGATTGCATATTCCCCGATCTTTTCAAGCCGTTGGCCGATCTCCAATAGGAAGGTCCTTGACATTTAGGAAGAGAACAATTTCCAGGGATATTCCGAAGGTAGATTGTTTTCTTTGATCTTCTCAAGTCGTTTAAGGATCTCCAAGAAGGATGGTCTTTGATGGTAATCAGCTGCCCAGCACTGTTCTGTTAACCTTGAAACATGCGTGAAGAAATATATTAGCAAAACTGATGATTATAGGACCTGAATAGATTGAATTAATGAGTGGTATCCACTGCTCAACTGGTTTCTGGACCATACTTTTGTGACATAAGCACATAGGTACTTCTCTTTAGTTTCCCTATAATTGATACCCATCTATGCAAGCATTTCTCCTGGGGTTGTTTCATCATATAATTTGACTAAAAAAATCAGCATCCAACCATAGGTTCCACAGTAAACCACGGGTCCAGAAATATGGATTTTTTAACCTTGTTAATTAGTTAACTAAATTATGGGTCCTTTGCTTTGCATGGAATTTCAAACAAGTCACATTATCCATAACTTATAAATAACATGCATCCAAAGAACACAGCCTAGAAGAGTAAGGTTAGGGTTAAAATGCAAAATGGCAATGCTTATTAATCATGTTAGATATATGTGCATTTGCATCCTCAAGCAAATATTACTTACTCTCGCAATTCAGGGATATAACCCTTTGCTCGCATAGTTGGCCTGCGTCCTTCTGCCACATGTTTGGCTCCGTCATAAGGCTCATAATTGGCAAAAGGTGGTTCCCCTTCCAGCATCTACCCCAATTAAAATGTCACGTACTAAAACTAGATTCAGGATATGCATGCATTAGACCAACTCTTAAGCAAGCAAAATTACCTCGTATAGTATCATTGCAAAGGAGAAGACATCAACCTTCTTATCGTATTTCTTGTGTTTGAATACTTCAGGAGCCATATACCGGTCTATTTTGTATCCCAAGAAAACAAAATTAAGATTTTTCTATGAATGAGTAATTACAGTTGAAGAAATTCTAAGAATACTCACAGCTTCCTGTTTCACCAGTCATCTTGTAAACGTCATGAGAATTCTGGACCTTGATAAGCTTGCTCAGTCCAAAATCTCCGACTTTTAAATGCTCTGCACTAGAATTGACTAAAAGAACATTCCTGAAATGTTAAGAAATAAACTTTAGCATGAAATAATATGACTGTAGAACTTACAGCTAATGTTCTTGAGGACATAAAATTTTGTCAATATAGTTTAATAGCAGAGTCTACTTCAATTTATCAGATGTCATGCAAACTGAGAAATTGGACAAGATGTGTCATCGATATTAAGATAAGATATGCGTAATTAGGATACACATGGGTAACATACCTTGGCTTAAGGTCCCGATGAATTATAACATTTGGTTCGTTGTGAAGATAGGCCATCCCTCTACAAGCAGCATTTAAAAAAATTTTAGTATAATATTGAGAAGTCAGCGAAGTTGCAAAATTTCTAGTTCTGATTGCAGTTTTATAAACATTAATAATAAATCACAGGGAGAAATAACTTGTTCATATTCCTAAGCGCATCTTCGAACATCTCTCCACACCCTTCCGCCTTCCCCCACCAACCCCCCCACCCCAACAAAAGAAAAAATGGAGGATAACGTCACTTTCCTTAGCCGTGATTGGCTGAAATCTAGCAGCAATCAGGTTGGAAGCAAGAAGGGGAGACAGCATCTGTTTCATCATGCTTTGTTCACGGATTTCAAATTGAGATTTCTCGGCAGTAGATTTTCTGAGTGCCAAGAAATGTTTCTGACGAGGATTTTCCTCCTGGAATCAGGAGAGATTGAAGAGCTCTTTGGAGCTAATGTTTTGTTTGTTTTTGTGAACCATTCATGCTTTTAAAAAAAAAACACGTGTCCGCGTTCGACACACATAGAAAATTCATATCAGGAACCTCGCGACACTTTAAATTACATGTGGACACTTCAGGGTTTTTCGTGGGCACTGTCCGGGTCAATGTCTGTCTTTCATATTTTTGTTTCATCTGTTTGGTTCTATAGGGAGATTTATTTCCTCCTTCTATGTACTTTCTTTTCTGCTTCTAAATAATTTTTTCCTGTGAAGAGTTTAAGAAGGTAGAACACTACCTGGCAATATCTAACGCAAAGTTGACAGCTGTCGATGGACTAATTGAACCTTTTTCCTTAAGATGCTGATGAAGATCGCCCTAAAATTGACATGACTGAGTAATTTACTCAAGTTTACCTTTCATACATAAATTTATAAGATCAGAAGCTAGATTAGAGTGCCAAATCAGAAGAAGAAATATGCATTCATATACCCCTCTAAGATATTCAGTGATTAACATAAGAGGTTTCTTCTCGGTAACAGCTCCAAGAAACTGGACTACGTTTGGGTGTCGAAGCTTCACTAACAAATTAACCTCATGCCTGAAGTCCTGGCTGCATTGAAAAATTAAATAATTTAAGCATAAGTGATCTATATGGAAAATCTATATCATTGAATTTGATGCAAAAGAACAAGCTTAACTAGTCTCTGTGCCTACCCTTCCCCACAAACGAAAGCCTAATATCATCAACCAAAACAACGTAGTTGAATCGGTTCCCTATTGCCCCAAGCAAGACTTGAAAAATGATATGTAAAATCAAGTCTTTAGTTTTAACAGATTCTTCGGTCATATGCAATCAGATACTATTAGCATCACGCGTCTCCAAAAATTAGTCACAAACTGATTCCAAAAAAAAAAAGAAACAGAAGAAAGGTATGTAAATCTTACACCACTAATTTATCATCTGAAAGAGATGGAAGAATGCGTTTGACAGCAACTGGCGTCCCACGCCAATGGGCTTTTAAAATCTCACCAAAAGATCCCTGAATCATGACCAGTAAAGCTCATTTTTGCATGCTAATTTAGTTCATCAATAGTGTAAATGCAAAGTGGATATAAATAGTTATGCAAAATTACAAGAACAACAGCAAGAAAGTCGGGGTGCAAACTAGAAGTTAATTGATGCAATAAAACCAAAGCATCTTCTAACGATGAGTGCAATATTCAAGGGGAACAATATAAACAGCAACACAAAAGCCAAAGAATGGAAAGAAACACAAGTTTAGATAGACTAGTGCCAATAAACTGTGTTCGAAAGGCCAGATTACATCATGGGAAACGGGCAGCCTTACAACTACAAAATGTACAATCACTAGGTCTTAAAGCATAATAAAACGAAAATATTAGAACTACGCATGATATGAAACAACTGCAAACCCAATGCCTTGCTGCACAAAAAAAGGTTGAATAATGCACATTGTAAGTTTCCAAATCAGTTGGCATGATCTTGATACATTCAATATTGCTAACACCAAGAAAATGTCAAGACACCTTTCCAATACGAGCTGAATGTGAGAAGTCCAGCTCAGTAGGGTCGACTTCCCAATCACACTTGTTAGACAATGGGGGTGCAACGGGCTTCTGTTCAGAGTGGCTTCCACTTTGGCCCTGTTCCATCAAATGTAAGATTCAGAAAAACAAATAAATAATAAATCAATAAACCCATCAGACGTAAAGGTTATTTCAAAAGCAACTAATTTCAGAGTTCCCATAGCTGTCAAGAAGCATGGGTTGGAAAGGAGGAGTTACTAGACCTCCTTGCCTGGGAATTCGGGTGACTGGAGGTAAATAACGCTTCAGAAAAATCTGGAGATGATGATCATGATTTTTTAATACAATCACGGTGTAAATATTCCCTTTAATATAGGGCGGCCCCAAGGTGAGGTCTGGGAAAGGATAGATATATGCAGCCTTACCCCGCATTCTCTTAGCATAAGCCAAAAACCAAGAACTAACAAAAACTGAAATCGGTCTGAACTGAGAGGACATGCCCAGAATGTAATATTGAATATCAAAAGCACGTTTTCGAGAACTTTATGATCCAATTTCAACTTCTGGCCAAGCAAAATGTTTAAGTGAAGGTAAATATAATTTTTGTACTGCTCGAAGTTTGTCTTTCTTTGTCAGTATTGCTCACATTCAAATCTTATCAGTCAATTTGAATAATTAATTTCATCATATTCATGATTTTTCAAAAAAGTTCTCACAAAATGTCACGGATTTCGCGGATACAGCTTGCTTTACCTTACGAGTTATGTCCCATATTATGAGGCTCAACAAGTATTAAGAAATGTAACTTGTACAGAATTCGAAATGTAGACTTGGTTACTCATCATAAATAAATTTTCCCCATCCAACTAGAACCCCAGACTTTTCCCACCATGTTAATGTAACTAAATGACTCCACGTAGGAGATGACGGAAGTCATGATAAGAGAACATTCAGGTTTGCTCTGGGTAATATCTGAAAGTAAACAGACGTGAAGGAACACAGTAAGATCCCGCTACAGACTATATATAAAAGATTACTGGAAGAGAGAACATTCAGATTTTCTCAAAACGTAGACCAAATATGGTCTGTATAAGAACATTCTGACACTCAAGACAGAGGTCTACACAAGTCAAGGAACATCAAAACGGAGAACCACTTGTACGGTAAACCAAGAAATGCAAGTTGAAAAGGGTATATTCGATTATCTAATAGAAAAGCATTTCCGCAAGAGAGAGTGCTGATATAAACCCCTCACGCGCGATATAACATTCAAATATATAAATATGCAACAGATCAGAAAGAGCATCTTTATTTTTCCCACCACATTCGAAAGAGAGAGAAGCCATGAACTTACATAAGACAAGCCTCCATATGATTTTAAAAGCTCCATCATGCTATACTTTTTAGCTCCTTCTGCATCAGCTAGAGGCTATCAAGAAAAGGGGAGGAAAAAATTTTAACGCATTCACAGAGTTATGAAACTTCAATTATTCCCAACCACAAACACACAGGAAAATAAGTGAAAGGAAACAAATTAGGTGGAAAAGAGAATAATACAGTGTTTCTCCAACGATCCTGAGAGTTAACATCGGCACCAAATTCAATCAAGCACTTAGCAACGTCAATCCAACCATGGAGGGAAGCCACATGAAGTGGAGTTCGATTATCGTAATCTCTGGCCATCACAAGCGACGGATCTTCCTCCAGGAGCTTCCGAACAGCGGTGGCATCGTTTTGGTGCGAATGCCATAGTATCATTGAAGTGCGACTAACTTTAGCCTTCTCCCTCTTCTTGTCCCTGCCCTCCGCCGATGAAGAGCCGCTGGAAGAACCGCCGCCGGGGGACGTGTTGTCGCTCATGTCCTCACTAAACGGATCAGATGAATCCCCTGCAGGAGCTTCTCCTTCCGATTTTGCGCGTGCTGACGGGTGTGATTTCTGAGCACGATCGTTATTACGGTTAATCGGTTGGTTCCTGAGAATGCTATTTTTAGAGCATAGAATGGAATATGTATATTGCGAAAATCAGTGAAAAAAGAATGTACAGAGCAGAAAGCGGGTCTGAGCTTTCTCTATCCATTATTCTACTTTTTACTCATTCAACAGAAATTGATTCTGGTTCTCTATCACAAATTATGACCTACTGAACTGTGAAGCACTTTCTTTCCCGTGTTTTTCCCTCTAAAGCTTCTTCTCTGTCTTCTTGTTCGTAGCTGTAGGGCATAGCCCCTACGTGACACAGCTTTTCAAAATATTTGTCTTCGCCGTTACTTATAGTTAGGTGACCAATGGCCATGTGACCACTTTTCAAATATACTCTGCTAGTTATTAATATAAAACTTATTTAATTAATTTGATTAGATTAAAAAAATTATATAAATTAGTTAATTATAAGAAATATAACATATTTTTTTAAAACACTATAATCATCTTTCTTAATATTCTCTCTCCTTCTTCTACTTGATTATAGTTGAGAAAGTATTTATAAAAATAATTTTAAAAAATTAATAAATATTAAAAATAGGACTTATATTTATGACCAAAATCAATTCAACAATTAAGTTCTATATTAAGGATTGAAGAAGTATTTGTATTTAGTGTTCATCATTAATATCTATATTTTGTGTTTACCATTAGCAATATTATATAAAGAATTTTTTAATTATAATTTATAAAATACGAGTTAAGTGAGCTGAGTATGTAAGGTATATTTGGTCTTGACTTGTATAAAAATACTTATAAAAATTTAAGAAAGACAGCCCTGAATTTAATTTGATATATAAGCCACCAATTTTATACTTATCCTATCAAGGAAGATGAAGGTTTTGCTTTTCTTTAAATGAAGTTAAACGGGCAGACAAAATTTATCTAAGTTTGGTTTTAATATACCCCATCAATTTTATGTCTTATGATTTATATTTAAAATCTACTGCCGACCAAGATGTTAAAATAGATCCCTTCAATTTTACAATCGTGCAATTTGTTTTCTTAATTCTTAAAAATAATATACTTCTCTAATCTTATTCATATGGTATAACGAGAAAGTTTTTTTTTTATTTATAAGTCATTTCATTAAATTTTCAACGTAAATATATTATTTTATTTATTATTTATTATAGTGTAGGTAGTTATTTCTTTTAAAAAGTGTATCTATTAAATATAGGTAAAATTAAAATTTTATTATGTTTTAATAGAGAGTTAATGTATTTTAAGATTTTTTTTTCTGTGTAAAATATGATAGAAGTACCTTATAAATAATATTAAAAGAGTATAGTGTTAACTTTATTGTTTATTATTTATTATAAATATTTTGTTGGGATATTGATTTTTTAGTGGTTAGTGATCAGTGATGGCCACAAATCCAATAGTAAGATAGGTAAGATACGGGTCACTGTCAACGTTCCAAAATCCAAACCTCCTCGTATTTTTAAAAATAGCATTACCCCTTTAAAATTTGCAAATTGGCATAGTTGTCAATGTAAAGAGTCGAACACGCACAATCAATTGTCACACACACCCAAAAAAAAAGCGCATGATCAATCCCAATGTATTTATTGCTTGATCTGGCAAAAAAATAAATGTATTTATTGCTTGTCGTATTAATGCATGGTCATAGTGAAAATCCAGGAAGCTGATGGGCTTCAAATATACAAATAGAGAAAGATATGATTTCTGTTCAGGAAAAAAATTTTATGGGTCCCGTTAATCTTTTTTTTCAGGTTAATCTAATTTTTAATTCCTTAAATTTGTCATTATTTAATTTAATTTTTAATTCTTCAAATTTGTTATTATTTTAGTTTTAGTCCTTTTCCAACCAGATTTTAGTCCCTCGAGTTTTTTTAAATTTAGTTTTTAAGGATAAAAACCTACAATTTAAAACTTAAAAGACCAAAACTAAAATAACAAAAAACTTAAAATCAAAAATTATATTAATCTTTCGTGTTTTTTTTATATTGCCTAATAATTAAAAAGTAAACCTGAAAAGTCCTTCCCGTTGACCCCCAGTATTACATGCCCACAGGATTTTAGTACCTCAAATCAATTGTTTCACATTTATGGAGATTCATCTGAATTTTTTTAATCTATCAGTCCACCTTTCACAAGATGACGACAAATTTCCATTCAAAGGCCGCACTTTGAAAATGAGAAACAATGCACATGGTATACGCTTTCAATTATGTTGATGATTTAAATTTAAAATATTCCAGAAAGTAGGATCTAGTTATCAATTCAATAACTTCTTTTCATAGATCTGTACTTCTCTGGGGCCTGAGCATCTAGAGGCTGTTTCTACCACATCGAACTTTGGGTTTCAAATCATGTCATCTTGATCTTCAAGGGACCGTTTTCGAGCTCTCAGGTTGAGCTTCAAACTTTCCGGCAGAGGAGGGGTCCTCCCTCGCCGGAACAGAACGGCGAGTGCCCTCATTTTCTGGCAGAGATCAAATATCTGCAGAACACACAGAAATTTATGAGAAAATAGTTCCTAAACACAGAAGACAATCACAGAATAATTGCTCCATTTTATACCGATGAGGCATCTATCTCAGCCACGCCTTCACAACCTTGACCTCCTCCCTCTAACAAGTCACAATACCTTACTGCTTCGTTTTCATCTTCAAAAACCTGCAACCCCAATGGGGATTCATTTTAATCATTAAGCATATGCTAAGATGATCAACAAAACAAGTTTTGCCGTTTGCAGTGCTGAATGTCGTATAAATATATACCAGCACTCCTTCTCTAATATCTTCCACAAGCATTGTAAATTTTGTCCCATCCCTTGGCTGTTTGGACTTGGACTGATTCCCAATCCCAGATCTCCAGTTAGCTCCTTTGGAAAACAATAACCCAAGCTCCCTTTCAACTTCACTGTCACAGAGAAAGCAAACTCAGGCAGGAAGAAAAACCAATTTACTCAGGTGGAAAAAGAACATAAAATAAACTGATCCAAACCTCCTATTTCTCCGGGTTTTCATCGTGCACAATTGATTTTCCCTTTGGGTGAGTACGTAGACAGGCTTAGAAGTTTCTCTCCATGGGTTGGCTTCTAAAACTGAAGAATAGAATGAATGAGAGGGGGAAATTATTGATGCTTTCTACAAGAAAAGTTAAGAGAATCACAACAGACTTGGAAACTGGGAAGGTAATCCTGAATATATTCTCTGCTGTAACTCAGCGAGTCAGCACACCACATACACGAGACATCATGAAATACTATTTGCCAGGCGGAGTTATACAAACAACCACGAAATGCTAAAAATACCTACGGTGATAAACTGTAAAGAAACATGGAGAAGATTCATCAAGACAAGGTAATACTGATATGTAAAAGGTAATACAGAAGAGTAAGAGTATCAGTATCACAACAGAGAGAGGAAGTTACTATTGGACTAAATTAATATTACCATACCCTGATCTAATTATTGTACAATTTGTGTTACTCCCTATAACAATAAATTAGACGCATTAAAATTAGAGAGTATATATGGGCTCATGCAGCGATAATTGAAAGTTCTATCTCCAAGAGAACCTCTTCAGAGGTCTCCAAAAACGAAAAGCAAAGATACAGTATAATCATGATGAAGAGGATAAACATGTCAGATTTGTTCAAAGGTCCACTTATCAACAGAAATACATAACCATAAACAGTCTCTGGGCTTAAGCCCTCTTTCTCCACCCCAAAAAAGGAAAAAAAAGGCCAAAGGGACGCCCTTTCAAAACACAACATGGGTGAGACAGAGACTAAAATCTGCATTACTTCCATACAGCGGAGGGGTGTGGATTATATAGCCGTTGCAGCTATGAGGTTTGAATGTAGTCTAAGTGGCGCCAACAGTGAAACAGGTGCAGGGCATGTCGCGATAAATGATCATGCTATAGCTGGTAGTGTCGAATATGTATCAATCGCAATAAAAACCCTGCCTCAGAAGCATACGTTCTTCATACAGTGCAGTTAAGTTAATTCTGCATAGGGTTTACCTAAACATAATTGGGAAGGCAAGTAACGCCATGTAGGAAAATCATAACCATTAACAAACCAACAAAAACAATTTGGACAACCCATATGATCCACAAGGAAAATAAGCATAATAAAAGGCTTAAACCACAAGCAAACAGAACAGGATCAATATCTGCAGAATCGGAACCAGGTAACTGAAGGCAAAAGGAGAAAAACAAGTGCCACCGTACCGTCATAGCTGCTGCTATCAAAACTTTCTTGGAGATGTCTTCGCATATCATAAGCACGCGACGAAACCCGCCTCAGAAACTCGTCGGAAGTCCCAGGAATGGTCCCGTCCATATGAAGGGCCCTCTCGACCTCTTCGCTGCCATCGTCATCTTCTCCTTTAACACCTTCTCCACCACCCAGATTGCAAGATACGCCTTTCAAACGCCTTCTATGTGGTTTAGCCAATACTGAAGTGAGCCTCGGAATACGATTACAAGGATTACGGGAAAACAGATGAATTCTCCGGGTTTGGCGATGAAATAGGTTACTGGAGGGTAAGACCATGGACGGAGAGACCGAAGAAAGCGAATCCATGGGATTTAGCTGATTTGATTGCCTTGAATTGCTCAGTTGGGCAAACACTAAATCTTCAATCCACGAAACTCGGAGGCGGATTCACCCGAGTGATGAAGTTCGATTAACTAATTTGGAAGAGAAATTAAGAGAGGTAAGAGCAGTTCTCGACGTGAACGACTGTTTGAGGTGTTCGTTGGGGAGAGCGGACAAAAGAAGAAGAAAGAAAGAGGAAGAAGAAAAATGGGAAAATGGGAAAATGTGAACCTGAAGCAGAATCTGGCGGATTTTTTTCTCTCTCATCTCAATGATGGGTCCACGTGAAGGAAAATGGAGGCACCACACGTCGGCTTCAAATTGGAGTGATGTCCAGAATTCCGTCCCCGCCGATGAACACGCATCACTTCCGCTTGTATCCCGTAAAGTATCGTATTACGGGTTATTTTGGTTTTTATTTTAATTTTAAATATAATATTTTAATTTATTTTATTTTTAATATTTGTATTTTTTTTTAAAATAGTCCTTCTAATAATAGTAGTTTTAATCAACACATTTGATTAGTAGGGATATTTTAGAAAATACAATACCTATTTATTACAAATAACTATCTTAACTTATTTTTTTAATCTCCTCAAATTAGTCAACTAACTCTTATAATTAGGACCAAAGGCCGTACATAATATATAGCCTAATTTAATTTAATTTTTTGGGTTAATATAATCTTTAGTTCTTCAAATTTCTTCTTATTTTAGCTTTAGTCCCTCAAGTTTCAAACTTTAGGTTTTAGTCCTTTTAGGAGTAAAATGGTCCAAGTTTTTATTAGGTTATAGGGGCCAATGTTATAAATAAAAAGAAATTTGAGGGATCAAAAGTTATAATTTGAAACTTGAAGGCCCGAAACTGAAATGAGAATAAACTTAAAGCACTAAAGTTCATATTAACCTTAATTTTTTTTACCAATTTAATTTAATACTATATCCCATTATCCTTTTATATAAAAATAATTACTTTACTCTTATTCAAAATTTGTTAAAAATAATTAAAAAGTTATTAAATTATTTTAAAATATTTATATTTATGTTTTAAACTGACTTGATTTACTTATAACTTGATATATAATCTAATATAATATATGTTATAATTAAATAATTTTTTAATTTTTAATCTTTCAAATTAGTCAACTGATTTTTATATCAAGAATCGAAGTAATAGTTATCCTTTTCAATTGTTAAGTAAATTAATATTTTTAAAAAAATCCTTGTATAATGCGACATCCATTCTTAATACAAGAATTACATAACTATTTACATATATTAAAAATTAGTTAAATTAATTATTTCCAATAAATAGGTACTATCTTCGGTCTTTAGTATTAGAGTTTGTTTGACTTTTATTTTGTTCTTAAATATAAAATCTCAATTCACTTTATCTTTGATATTTATTTATTTATTTAAAATAGCCCTTATAATAATAGTAAATCTAGCTAATACACTTTATTATTAAAAATAATTTAGAAAATAACACCCATTTATTATAAATAACTAACTTTACTAATTTTCTTAATCTACTCAAATTATTAACTAGCTCTTATATTAAAGACGGGAGGTAGTATTTTTTTTTTAAAAATCTTTATTAATCATGCATTGAGATACTTTGATAAACTATTTAATATGTACAATTATCATAGAAACTATTTTGAGAAAAAATTAAGAGGTAAGGCGCAAAATATCATCAGCTTTTCTTAAAAGTATACCTAATACTATATTTTTTCTCAGGTGCAAGTCTAACTTAAAAGTTTAAAATAGGTGCAAAAATAATAAAACGGTTTAAATGAGATACTTTTGGCAGTAAAATACCCCCAGTAAAAAAAAACATATTATTAAAAAAAAAAAAAAAAACCGATCTTAGATTCTTAGCCTTCAAACCCAGTCACGCCAACGAAGAAGAACCCGAGAGCAATGGTCGGTGTCGCTAATCTTCGTCGTGGCACTACTGCCTGAACCCATGCCGGTTCATGTCGTGGTATCGATAGATCTGCAAGGACACTATGCAACAGTGCAAGGAGCGGCGCCACCTTATGAGAGGCTGTCTGCATGCGCCATCAACACTCGTTGCTGTGCATTCCAACTATCGTCGGTCGCTCCGCCTCACTGGTTCTGCCCTCTGTACGTTTGCCGTTGGGGAACCTCTCGCGGTCTCTTGCAATGCCCCTATTGTTTTCCTCAATCCATGCGGTGGTGGCAGCAGCGAGTTCAGCCTCCCCTATCATCCACAACCTCGTGTGCCCCCCCCTCTCCCTCTCCTTCCCTCCGCCCTTCTCCCCCGCCCCTATTTTTGCTGCATTCTCCTTGGCATTAATATCAAATGTTTTGAGCAAGTCGAGGGCGACGTAGAGATTGCAGAGGCAAGCAAGGTAAGTGGCGACAGTTTCTCTGATTGGAGTAGGAGGATTTTCTAGCATCTGAACTGTTAATCTGTTAGGAAAAATGTTTGTTTTAGGTGTTTAAGATGAAGAAATTGGCAATGATGATATCTCGGGTGTGTGTGAAAAGTTTGAATGCTATGAACTGGAATGTTTAGATTGTTCTTAATTTTTGAGCCTTTTAACTCCGTTTGATTAATGTTGAATGATGATTCTGGTTTGAATTTTCTAGCTATGTTGGTGTTGATTGTGATTTTTCTTTTTTCTGGAGATCTTGGTGTGGCTTTGTAGATTCATGAGATGCAGAGACATATGCTCTCCAGTTTGTGAAAAGCTTGAGAGAAAGATGACACTACATGACAGGTGGTGCATCCAAGTGTTTAGTACTTTTTTTTCGTACTTTTTTTAAAAACAGTATGGATCTCACCACCAAAAAAACGGCAGTTATCTCATTTTAACATTTTTGTTATTTTTTGCACCTATTCTGAATTTTTATAGTTATATTTGTATTACTAACATAATTTGTCATTCTAGTAACATTTGCTTGTTTATTTGCAGGAATTGGTTGCAAATTGGGAAGTTTTAAAGTGCACGAGGGAACATGCATGTTAAAACATCAAGAATTTGTTAAAAAACAAAAAGAACTGGCGTGCGTTCATTTTGGATCAGACAAAATTAATACTCATCTGCTTTTAATTTTTAATTGTAAAACTCATTTTATAACGTAAACTTTTAGGACGGAAGGAGTATTAATTATAGTGTTACATAGATAAAAAAAAAAATATTGCACGAAAATAAGAACATTTTTCAATTTATTTACAGTACTGCCACTAGATTTATTAATAGTACTCCAGTTACTTATAAAACTAACGTGAAAACTGTGTCATTTAATTAATATTTTTTACTAGTGTTTATATTCTTGTTCTTCCTTAAGCATGAACATTCAATACAAAAAGAAGCAAGAAAAAATGGCGGGGTAATATGATCCTTAATTCTTAAAATTTGAGTCGATTTTAGTTTTAGTTCTTATTTAGTCTCTGAAATAGAGTTTCATTGACCAAATATTTTTAGGGAATCAAAATGAGGTCAGATTTTAAGAATTAAAACTATTGGTTTCAAATTTTAACTGGGATCAAAATCAAAATAAAAACAAAGTTCAGAAATTAATTAAATATGATATTAACTTTAGCCTAAAGTATACATTTGGTCTTTTAACTTTGTACAAGGTCTCAATTTGATCCCTTAACTTTTAAAAAACATACATTTGGTCTTTTAACCCTAAAATCATTAGGCTTTAATGATGATTTTTTGTAATAATCATGAATATTTTAAAAACTAAACTTAATATGTTAGTATTTAAAAGTATTTTATATCAATATTTAAGATTTTAATATCATCATTTTTTAAAAAAATTTAAGATTAAAAGACTAGAAGTATACTTTTTAAAGTTAAAAGATCAAATTCCTTGTACAAAGTTATAAGACCAAATATACTTTAGCCTTAACTTTATTATACTCCCTCTAGTCTTATATATAAGCTTTAAATTTGGGAAGATGTATGATTCATTTTATAAGCTTTAATTTGGGTTTATCTTAACATTTAATATATTTTTTTAATATTGCCTTTAATCATTTCCCTTGTATCACATCTCTCCCACAAATTCTTTTTCATCTTTTTTCTCATTTATTATAAGGATATCAAAAGTATATTTCTAACTTATTTATTGTGTTTAACTAATTTTAACTAATTATTTGTTATCATAAATTAGTTATTTGAAACTTATCATACTATCTTTGTACTTAATATAAAAACTAGTTGACTAATTTGAGTAAACTGAAAAAATTAGTTAGTTAGTTATTTGTAATAAATATGTGTTGTGTTAGTTACTTGTAATAAATGTGTGTCGTGTTTCCTGAAATATTCTTGATAATCAAGTATATTGGTAGAACTACTATTATTACAAGGACTACATTAGAAAAAATAGATAAATATGAGAGACAAAATAGATTAGGGTTTTATATTTAGGATCAAAATAAAATTAAACAAACTCTTATATAAAAGACTGGAAGCAGCAAGTAAGAGGGCATTATACTAATAGAACCCAAGAAACTCATCAGCCAATAATCCTAGCCTGACGTTTTTAGGTTGTACTGACGAGGAAATTAAGCTAAGTGAGATGAAAACCGGAAGCTCCCATGAGCATTCACCCACAGCTAATACCTAACCTGATCCCTCAAAACGCATTGGGATGGATCCAATTAAAATAAATGCTTATACAAGGGACTAGGCCGTACATTTATGAATGGTAGTGAAAATTAATTAATTTAGACCAAAGTTAAAAAAAAAACAGTTATTATAATGATAATGATCCAATAATTAGCAATATAATGGGAAAATTAAACTAGCCAGCTACAGAAACTGCACGAGTAGTGCGAAGGATATCTTGTGTATTTGTGTGAACAATGTGGGTGTATATCCTGGCCAAGAAAGAAGAGCACGAGCACACATATGTATATTGTATATATATGTATGTGTTTACATTAACTGTGCAATAATTGTATTGTGAGAAAAATAAGAGTACAAATTACTACCTCCAGTTCTTAATATAAGATCTCATTTAATTTTATTTTGATTCTAAATATAAGATCTCAATCTACTTTGTCTCTTATATTTATTTATTTATTCCTAAATGGTTTTTCTAATAATGATAGTTCTAATCAATACACTTGTTTAGTAAGATATTTTAGAAAATACAACACTTATTTA